AAAAAAGTAACCTCTTCTTCAACTTTCATCCGTTTGTGTTCGTAGCCATCGTTGCCCATTTTCGGTGCAGGCGAGCTTGACTCCACCTCAATTGCATGCTGAGGGGAGCTCATCACTGTACCATCTGCTAACAGTTGAGAGGGATCGCTGCAAAATCGTTGGCTTATGAACCTGCGCAATATGAATCACTTCAACTCACATATCCTCATACATCTGAGGAACCTGTCGTGGAGGTTCCATTGGAGATGTGGTGTAGACTTCAGAGAACTAAAAATGTACTTACACCAACGCATTTGAACTGGTGGTTACAAGAGATAAATGATAAATCAAGTGAAAGATATATAAAAACAGAAAAGAGAGAAAACAGAAAGTCATCAAGTACCGTTAACGAATTGAACTCCGCAATTCGTTCGTTGAGGAGTCCAGCATACTCATCAAGTCGTGCACATAGCTCACAATTCAGGAATCGATCTCGGAACATCCTGCAATCCAAAGGAAGAAATTGTGAATAATTGGTTACCCTGAGCTAAATCTACCTGCAGGAGATCTCCAATACAGGATTACTGTGGTCTGTGAGAGGATTCCGATTTAGTGGTGTCCATCTGCAAGAAACCATATAGACACGGCATGGTATCATTAGCCTGTACCTCACCTTTTGGCGAAGTCAGGATCTGTCAACTGAGCATCAACAAGCTGAGCAAGCGGGTTCAGATCCATTTCACGAAACGCTTCAAACATGTCAATAACAATACCTTCGAATAAAGTCGGGTCAGTAGCTCTAAAATGCAAAGGTTCTCCTCTTTCTTTCTCAAGAAACCTCAGATAACTGACCGAGTCCACCGTCTCAATGCACAGATGATGGCAAAACGATCAACTCGATTTGAGACCATTTCATCGAGACGCGCAGCCCAGTCAGATAAAAGGTGCCATTCCGCTATCTGTAAAAGAAAAGCGTAAATGTGAACATGATAGTACGACTAAATTTTCAAGAAAAAAGACCTGAAAATCTGCGGTGTACGCTTCATTACCAAAATACGCATCAAGGAGGGAGGGCCAATCTGGTGAGCAATCCGTCACGATTGTATCAACTGGTGTTGTTGACCTGTAATTTAAAGCTAATGAGTAGATAAAACATGCGCAACAAATCCCGACGGAAGAGGTTTGAACATACACGGAACGCAGTTTCTCCAACAAAGCGACTTTGTCTCCATCTTGAGAAATGAAAACGCAGGCACATCTCGGCAT